ATGAAGAACCATTGCTCTTTCTCATAGACATCTAGCTGACCACTGTAGGAACAGACTGCTGGATTAGATAGGTCTTTGTCTGGTTAAGCATGTCTCTTCTTATGTTCTTTTTGTTGTTGTTGCACATAAAAAAATCTGGATGATCTGATTAACATGGACTGATATGCTTCTTAACTTGAGTTGTGTTATCTTCTTTGCCCCAGCCAGTTCTGTGGCTCACATAAGGCTCTTATCGTGTCTCAAGGTAACCTCACCCAACCTGATGCCTTCCAGATGTTGTTGGATTACAACTCCCACCATCCCTGACCATTAGCCATGCTGAAGGGAGTTGGAAGTCAACAACATCTGGAGGGCTTCCAGGCTGAGGAAGGATATCTAAAGCTTTCTTCCAAGACATTTAATGTACTTTTCAAATGTGTGTGTTTATGTGGCTAGAGACACAATAAGAGCTTTGCAATTCAGATTAAAACTCCACCTAGTCCAGCATCTGGTTTTCTACAGTGGTCAATTTGGTGTTCCTTGGAAATCCTCCCAGCAACTTCTATGCAGTGGCATTCAGTCTCTGAAGATGGACTGAGTCCTTGGCATAAGGAAGATCCCAGGTAGCCATCATGGTCAATGGGTAGACTAAGCTATCTTTCATGGGTGTGTTGGATCCTGAATTTGTTCACCTGTCAGACAAATGTCATTTCTTCATGGCTGTCTAGTGTTACAGGCAGAAAACACACAGAGAGAGTCTATGTGGACCTTTGTTCTGACACAGCACAATGATTGTGACATTCTATGTAACAGAACTGTGGCCCGCAAACCAAGTTGGAGCACCTGATGCAGTAGTGCCACGGAGGCTAAGCTGATGTGAGCTTATCCATGTTCACCTAGCAGAGCTTTCTGGTTGTCCCAGTTAAGCTGCTAAGGGGCTTCATTTAGATGATCTAAAGCCCTCCATCTGGAGTGGTCTCATAGATACAGACTGTGAGGAAAGGGGTTAGAGCAGAAATGGATGAAGCAATGGGGTGAGAAGGAGAAGTCACTCTGCAAGTAATCAGCTAAAACAGGGTCTCTCAAACTTGGGTCTCCATTGGTTGTTGGACTACAAATCCCATCATCCCCAGCTAGCAGTGCCAGTGGTCAGGGATGATGGGAATTGTAGTCCAAATTGTAGTTGGAGACCCAAGTTTCGGAAACCCAGAGTTAAAACCTGTGGCAAAAGTCTTCCATCCAAACCAGGGGATTCCCAGGAAAGGGTCAGATGAGAGAGAATAGTGTGGTAGGAAAAGAGGAAGAGGAAAGCAGGTGGCTGTTGATGCTGACCCTTTGGTCCTGCCAATCACCAGAGTAAGGCTCCCAACACAGTCTTGTTGCTCCTGGAACAGTGACGACTGGTACCCATTGTGCCTGGTAGGGTGGAAGGCAGGGAGGTCAACAGTAGGTGGAGACAGAGTCAATGATAGGCAGAATGGGAATGCTGTCCTTGATAGCAAACAAAAACTTTACTCACTCCTTTTAGAGCATCTGCTCTAGCTCTGAGTCTTCTTAAAGAAGCATGGGATATAAATAGATCACATTTGAGAGGAATCATCTAATCAGTGGAGGAATTGCCTTCTCCTTCCTACTCTACAGTTCAAACTTCCCACAAGCTAGCAGAACCTAGACTACATGCATTAGAAGCAGCCTGACTCAGAGTTGTCCCATTTAGCTTTGTACCATCTACTTTGACTGACCGAAACTCTCCACATCTCAGGTGAAGGTTAATCCCAGACCTGAGATCCTATAGCAGGAGATGCCACAGATGAAGACTGGGACTTCCTGTATGCTAAGCATGAGTTATGGCACTGAGCTCTGCTTTCACTTCCCACTACTTGGTTGGCCCCTGTGGGGCACATGATGCTGTGTTTCAATGAGCCATTGGTCCATCTCAGCAGAGCTCTACTGATACTAGGAATGGGTTAAAAATTGGATTCAATTTGCATTTAATGGGGAACATACCTAATTCTTACTTTCCGAAACAACATACAAATGGAAACACAGCCATCCTTCACAAGTCATGCTTCTCTGAATTTTGCATCTCTGCAACAAACGAATGTGTACACCAATGCATATACTACAGTAAAGTGTGCATACTGGTGAAATTACAAAAATGCATAGTGTTGGGGGGAGAGGAAATGCTTTGCAAAAAAAGTGTGCATTAGGGGAAATTGCACACTTGTCAGTGTATAGCAGAAGAAATGCTGATGAATATTCACGAGGACTTAATTTTGGGTGTTTTCCCCCCCAAAAAACTTATGTGGAAATGTGGACAACTAAACTTAAGATTGGAACGAACAGAAACTGAGAGGAGATGAAATTGACCAATTCGCTCACCCCCCAGCTGATCTCCCCCCGAAAGCACATCACACTTGTGGCATAGGGAACCAATGTATGGACAATGTAGGCTTCCTCTTGTGTGCCTTTAGGAATCTGTGTAAGCTTCCCCACATGTCTCATGTCATAACCCTCCCCAAACTAGGAATGGTTCACAAGCTGCGCATGGAGGCCCATGCTGCCCCAGCACCCTCGATGACTAGAGTTTGCTACCAAAACACATTTCATGTTATGATAATATTAATTGCCTGTGTGCGCAGCTTAACTCTCCTTATCTGTAAATCCTTCCCCATCCCTCTTTTCTCTTTTACTCCAAGCCCCCCGCCCCACCCCTCACCTTCCCCACCATCGCCACCCCTCCCCTTGCCTGTATGAGTTAATCTGCTGGCTACACTCTCAGCTTTTTCTTTCTTTCTCTCTTTCTTTCTTCTCTCTTTTCTCCCTCTTCTCCCCCCCCCCCCCCCCCGCACCCCAGCCTCCCTTTAGCTTCTGGTTTCATTTTCAGATGGCAAAATTCAAGGCACACAGCTCTGCTGTCTGGTTGCTATGGTAACTGCAGCCCTATTATCGTACCTTGTCATTCATCAAGAGAGAATTGTGTTTGACAGAGAGAGACTAAAATGCCTGCAGTCTGGAGAGTGTGTGTGTGTGTGTGTGTGTGTGTGCATTCTTCAAAATATGTAAAAAGAGAGAGAGAGATTTTGATGCATGTTTTACTGTATGTTTAATGTTGCTAAGTTTGATCGCCAGGTCATCACCCTTTCACCTTGAACATGTAGGAATTGTTCATGCCTCTTTGCTTCACATGTTCTCAGTCTCTGCGCATGCACACACACACACACACACCCCTCGTGAAATATATGATTCATAATCCAAAGGTAATGGTATAAACAATCAACTCCCACCCACCCACTCTTGGCTTAATTCAGCAAGCAGCACGGAGGAATTCTACCTTTGTTACTTATATCTAGCATTGCTACTTATATCCAGCAATGCCTTGGACAATAATTTCTGGGTAGATAGGTACTTAGTTAATTCACCGCTTTAAAGATTAATTTAATTCCTTCACACATCACATTGCACCTCTGGTCTGCCACCGCCAAAGCCGCTGGAAACGGATTGATAGAGGGGCGCTGCACGAAATGAACTGACATTTTTCAGCCAATCGCCTTCGCCCCTTTCCGAATTTGGACCTGGCCCAAATTTATTGTTCCTGAAAGGCAGAAGAGAGGTAATTGCTTGTCATTGTGCAGAGCCTTTTGTGCCTTGGTCCAAATTAATTCCTGAAGTGCATAGCCTTTTAGAAACACAACAACCCACATTTGCAACTCTGTGCAGTTATCTTTTGATCATAGCATTATCTCTAACCTCTGTTGGTTTCAGGGACATAAATGGGAGCATGGGAAGCTGCCTTAACATGGAGCCCATACCTTTGGGCCATCAAAGCTTATTCTTGTCTACACTGACTGGCAGTGGCTCTCCAGGGTTCCAGGCAGGAGACCTTTAGAGCCCTACCTGGTGATGCTGAGGAATGAACCTAGGACTTTCTGCATGCAAAGCAGGTGCTCTGTGGTCCTTCCTCAAGAACTTCCTTATATCAAGTCAGATCACTTGTCCTTCTAGCACAGCATCTTCTGCTTTGACCAGCAGCTGCTCTCCAAGATCTTGAGCAGAGGTCATAGTCACCACTTGCTACTTGGTCCTCTTTTAATTGAACCTGAGACCTTCTGCATGAGACATGAAGAGTGATACTTTCTTACATGTTGGTAGACGTATGAATGAGTTGAGTCCTCTTCAGGTGTGATGAAGAGGAGCAAGGTGACAAAAGATGCTCCTCCTGTGTTTGGCACAGCGTTGTATCCAACAATCATTGGACTCAGAGTTGACCCATTGAGATTAATGGGCATGCCTCACTTTGTCAAATTCAACAAGACTGCTCTCATAACAACTCAGTTGGATGCAACCCATAATAATCTGAAGCTGGGAGCTGCTATGCTGTGCAAGTCTGCCACATTATCGAGAACCTGGATCACTCAGGGCACACAGAGAATCTCCACAAGTGGGACGTAATTCATGATCAAGAAATTATGCTCCAACATGGCAGGGGCTGTGCAGATTTGGGGGGGGGGCACAGCTAAAAGCACCATCGTCCATCCCTTTTCACCATGCAGCATAATTCACCAACATAAATATCTACAGACCAATTAATGTAAACAAAGGAAGGAGAGAGAGGCCCCTAGTCAAGGAATTTATGACATAATTCCCTGATGGCTAACAGAAAGCAAATATTGATAATCACTTCTTTGCTTTCCCTATATTCGAAAGGGTTCTGAGCTAGAGCATTTCCCTGGCAGACTGTCCTGGCAGGGGCTGATGGGAGTAGTAGTCCAACAACATCTGGAGGCATCTTCTTCCGTTGCCACGTTCCATCACCATCCCTACCCCTGTGTTAAAACGTCTCAGCAAAAAATGCTCTGTGAAACTGATTCCCTGCCTATCCCTTCCTTTGTTTTCTCCTGAACCACTGAAATGTGCACAGGAAACTCTTTGAGGCAAGGACTGGCCTGTGTGTGTGTGTGTGTGTGTGTGTGTTGCATGTATTTCCATGCTATTCTGTGGACTGCCATACATTGCGATGGCACTAAATGTATTAAAAGCAATTTGCCAACTTGTTTCCAGCCCGTTTTGCAATTTGGCAGCAAGCAAAATGGTAAGGGAGGGCAGGCAGTGTTTCAACCATCATTAACATTCCCGTTCCTAGAGTCACTCTCCGAGTTTAATAATCCTGCAATAGCAGGGTTAATTTCCTGTTTAACTCCAGACCTACCTTTTGATTCCTCCTCGCGCCCCCTCCTTAAAAATTCCTCCAGGCTAGTGGTTTCAGTGGATGGAGAAACGAACAGGCAGAAACAATTAAACTAGCAGATACAGTGGAAACCAATACCTCTGGCCCTTCCACAGAAATTGTAGCACAGGAATGGATTCTGTAATGTATTTTATCTTTCAGCAGTCTGCTTTCCCCCCTTGCAATTCTTTCAGCCCCTCCTGTGGGCTACAAGAATTCTGTCCTCCCCAAGGACCTCATAAATACACACATGCACTGAAAATATTTTCTCTGTGTATTAATATTACATGATGATCATCTCAAGAAGAGCGAGTGGGCTCCACCCCTCCCTTCTCCTCCTCAGCCCGCTTTCAGACCTTGACTGCAAAATGGCTCCTTAACAACCCCCCTCTCCCCCCTCTCTTTTACTTCCAGCATTCACATCTGTCTAGGGCAAAATAAGAGTTTTGAAGGCATTCTGCGACCCAGCCTAGCTTGAATGTGTACTGGGGGTGGTGGGGTGGGAAGGCAGGGAGACGTATTGCAATCGCTGTGCGCATTGCAAGTTTTACACCGGGGGGGGGGCGGAAGTGATTCAGAAGCATTTATTGTCACCAGTTAGGAGAGCAATTGGATTTTTATTTTTTTGGTTCGGTGTCATCGCCTGTCTGAGGCTCCATGCCATTAGACAGAATTGGCAGCCAGTATCCTGGTTATAAAAGCACTTTCACGAGGGATGGGTTTATTGAACATTGCAGAAATATTTAACTCCCTCGCTGCCGGATCTATGACCCAGTGAAGTCTGTGACTTGCGGCCTGTTTTCTTTTGATTGGCTTTGAATGAAGAATACAATGCCTCTAAACTACAGTATTCGGGCTTAAGTATGGCTCCTGCTTAAAAATAGCCCGTGTTGGTCATGGCTTTATAAAAAGTAACTCATCTGAATATTGATGCTTCTCTTTGCCTCACAGCTTCACTTGAAAGCATTTCATAACTCTGATTTTGGAAAAGATTGGACTCCTACTAGCATGCAGATAAACCAGATTTCCAGAGAGTTTAGGCTTTACCAGTTGCCACAGGGTATTAGGGAAACCGAGAGCTAGTTCAGATACATTCATGTGTACCACTTGTGTTTTCTATAATTGATTACTGTATATAAGATAAATGGCCCATTTGTACAACCCAGTCATCACTTGATAATGCAGTCCTCAAATGATGAATGCACATGTGGCAACCAGGTTTAAGAATCGGAAGGAGGAATTACGGTCGAAAAACTGAGCTGTCAAGATCAAAGTACTGCACTCTGCAAAATTCACTATGAAGTATGCTCTTTACAAAATCAGCTCAGGTCCTTCAAAAGCTAACTGGCAAAGAGTTTTGCAAAGTGCAAAGGGCCTGAACCGTGCAGCAATGTGTTCTGCTTTGTTCTACCATTGTCTAGCCTTTAGCCTTAGCTGTTAATGTCCAATCCCTGGTAAGCAAATTACCAATAACATCATTCAGGGAACTATGAGTAAAGGTGGAAGTGACCTGAGCAAAGAGAAAGTCAGAGTCTAAGGTGGGAGATTTAAAACAAGGGAAGTTGGCAGATCAGAGTCATGCCACAAGCGATTTTTGTCTTTATTTGCAAAAACGATTACAGAGTGCTCCATTCAATTATTATTATTATTATTTAAAAGCCTTGCTTCAGTTTTAGGTCTGTGGAGATCCCCATCGGGGAAAAACAAACTTCCATCCATCTCCCAGGACCAAGAAATTTGACATGAAGACAGAGGGTGAATGAGAAGCAGTGCGGTGTGGGAGCCATGTGCCATGTTTATTGAATCCAGCCTGGAGTACTTTTGCACATTAAATCACCTCTTATAAAAACCCCAAATTTGTTTCAAGTGTGGCACTGTGCTGGCCACCCCTCCCAATATTACACATATAATAATGCCAGGGCCACCTCTCCCCCCCCTTCTTTCCCACCCTAACCCCCCACTGAAGTGAAAATTTGAAGACAGCTGCTAGTAAATGTAAAACACTGCCATCTAACAACTGAAAACATCTGAATGCGGATCCTGCCTGGAAGCCTGATGGACATTTTAAGAACTGAGCTCCACGTTTTCCCTGGGTGTGTCCCTGAGCTGATGTGAAGGGCCCCTAGCTCTAGGAAGAATACTTTTTGTTCTCATGGCACACCCAGGAACTCTCCTCCTTCAGCTCTGCCACCTGAAGATCTTCTCCTCTCTTTAAACAACCCAACCCATTTCCCCCTTGCTGAAGAGCTGTAGCTCAGTGGCAGATCATCTGCTTTGTATGCAGGTTCAACACCCAACAGCATCTCCAGGTAGGTCTGGGAAAGACTGAAACCTTGCCAGTCAGAGCAGAGAATAATGAGTGCAATGAATCTATGGTCTGACTAAGTACAAGGCTGCTTCCTATGTTCCTCTTAAGCTTGGTCCTCCCTCCTAGAATAACCTGCAACCCTCCAGATGTTGGACTTCAGCCTTCATTAGCCCCAGCCAGTGCAACCTATGGTTAAGGATAAAGGGAGTAGGGATGGGAGAATCTGTCAATTTCAGATTCTCATTTTTCCATATTTAGGTTTCATGCTCTGTATTTTCACATCAGTATTCCACCATGTACTCCCACTGTAACTAACACAGCAGTGGTGCACAGCAGAAGCTGTGGTGGAACTAAGTTCCTCAACAGGTTTCTACAGCAGGAGATGCTTCCACATTTCCCCTGCCACTTGGCAATTTAGAACTTTAAATTCAAAGCCAACACTTGAATCACCACTATAGGTGCTTCTATCGAACTACTGTACCCTGCGGAGAATGAGAAGAAGCAGTAACGACATCTCCCAAACAAACTGTCTTTTCCATTTTATTGTAGCTTTTTAAAAACAACAACAACAACAATGCTTATTGTTGTACTAATCTTATGCAAACCACTTCATGAAATCCACCTGGAAAGTGGCCATTCAGCTTTTGGCTGAATGGAAATTCTTGGGCTGCTTTCAAGGGCATCCCCTTGTTGTCTCTCCCTCTCTACCCTCTGTCCTTTCTTCCCATCTCTCACACGATTTATCTTCTGGAATTTGTTTCTCTTATGTTACTCTGTGAAATGTATGGACACTGATGGTGCTATCCAGGACTTTTTTTTCAAGTGGAACTCCGTTCCAGCACCTCTCAGGTGGATGCCATTATATGAAAACAAAGGAGGTGTTTGTGCTGAGCACCTCTTTTTCTAGAAAAAATAGCACTGATGCTATCTAAATACAGAATGCTACTCACACTCCTGTATTTCTCCAGTAAAAGGTTAATGTTTATGGAAAGCTGACAGGCTTCCAAAGGGGTGAGCCCTTGTTCCAAATAGGTTCTCCTGGCTCTCTGTGACTCAGCTCTCTTAGTTCTCCAGTTTTCTTGGATAGTTTGGCCAAAGTGGAAAGTGTGCCTGTCTCTCTGTCACACAATGCGAAAAGATGCATCAATTGCAGTTTCTGCTTGGGTGTTCATCCCTAATCTGCTTCATGGCATATACAAGTGAAAGATTGTCTAGAAATGTGCAAATGACACACACACACCACTGAAATTTTGCTGGTCTTAGCAAAGACATTTTCATATCCCTTGAAATTCTGCAGATGCTCTCCCCAAACTGACACCTTCAAATTCAGCTTGGATTTTGCTTAGCAAGCCTTAGCAGCAACTTCTGAAGAAATCTGAAGAAATTCACAAATCTGAGCGAAACTCCCTCAGGTTCCATTGAAATTCTTCATGTGTTTTTCCCAAACCTGAAATTTGGCATTTGGGTCATATTCTGGCCTAGGTTGAAATTTGGTGATTAATCCGCTGTGGGGAAAATGAGATAGAGAAGAAGTAAGGTACAAGAAGAAGCTACAGTTGCAGAACCATTTGCTGTTGCACAGCTGTTGATGAAATGTATACAACCACACACACAATCTGACAACCCTTGCAGAACTTAACTTAATTTCAGGGAACACAAACTTCTCCTACCTCAGTTTTTTTCCCTTGCTAAATGTATGAATAATACTGGCAATTTGAAGACAAAATTCTACTGATTCCTTAATCTGACCCAAGTTAATTGTTTCTGTTTTCCAATGAAACTGATGAACAAATGTAGTCACGAGGAACTTGAATCCTTCTGATTTTGTTGCAACTCAAGCCTAGTTTTATTGATGTGGTCAGTATTTGCCTTCATGCCCTACAAAGCTCTCTTGACATCACAGATCCAAATTCTGCAGACCACAGAGGTATTTATTAAGTGTAGAGAGGTCTCTAAAACAAAACAGAAAGGCAGAAAAAAAATAACTGGGCAGCAAGATTACTTTCTTAGAGGAGCCTTGTGTTGATTTTGAATGTCAACCAACAAAACAAATTATGTGTGCAGTCAGTAGACCAGTTACACAAAATCTTCAGAAGTAAACAGTTAACACTTCTGATTATTCTGATTATTGGTTATTGACTGAGAATTATTATATACATTCAGCTATCAACTTGTAAACTGTTTCTAATAGCAGCAGCCAAGAATTATGCAGATCACCAGCCTAAGATATGGAGGGGGGGTGGAACCCAAAGCTTTGCTTAGGTGTACCCAGGACCTTTCAGTCCAGTCAAATGCCTTAGCACTTTGTTCAACGTGCTGTAAGGTATGGGTGTATTTTCCTAGAAAGATCCAATATGCTTCCAAAGAGAACATGTCTTCAGGAGGCATCTACTGTTAGGGTCCTAAAGGGAGAGAATATGTATTGGAATGCTGTAGCTGATGACCCTTATTCTGGCATTCTCCTCCATACATGATTGTGGGCAAGGTAGAAACCTCTACCTAGCTCCTCCCCCTTCGCTGGGTTCTTGCTGCCACCACCCACCATGAGCAAATGGGAATTGTAAAGCTCTGTGAAGGATAAACAACAGCGCCCATGATTCTTTGGGGGAAGTCATAACAAAGTGGTATAAAAGTGCTTTAAACACATGTGACTGAAATAAAAATGTGAGATTCTATGAGTACAGCAGACTTCTCACTGCAGATGCTTGCTCTCCAGTGCATCAACAGCAGTGGGGCAGATTATGGGGATGCAACAGAGCTCACCTCTGTTATCTTCTCACATGATTTTAATTGCACAAGAAGATGAATGCCTGACTAGGACTATGGACTTATTTCCAAAAGATACTGAGTTTTAAAGATTGTATGAAAGCCAGAAAGTAAAGGCTTCAGATCTTGATCTCCGAAACATGGTGATATGGCACTGGAGAACCAGTTCATGCAACAACCTCCTTTCAATGCCTTGTGTGCACAGAAGCATCTATGGGTCTGTATATCTCAGGCTAGACCTGCCCATGCAGTAGACTGAGAGGTTGTGGAATGGAGAGTTTCATTGCAGACTTCAAGGAGGGAAGAATTCATATTTCAGACTCCTTCCCATTACGACAAAACTCCTTGCAAGTAGAAAACTAGCAGAGGCATGCACGACTTGTTGCATACAAGTTGCTCAATACCAATTTTGGAGCATGGCCACCATCTTATGCACCCAATCTGGCCAAATTTAAGCATTAAAAAGGTTATTTGCTTTCTCTCACACAGAGGTGTGGAAACAACTTTCCCATAAGAATGTGTTAGGAATCCAACCTTTGCAAATCTCTGACCTCTAACCAGCTGAGATATCCACCTCCACAAGTTAGCCATCTATTGGCTTTCTCACTTTTCCAGATGTTGCAACCCTATCCCTAGCAGTTTAAACCTATCTACCTATTTCGAGAGAAAATGCAAAGGCATATTAAAATATGTGTTGGTGTTGTTTTAAAAAATAAAATAAATATTTTGGAATTGCAAATATAACAGAAGAAAGGGGAAACACCTTCAGCTACTATTAGCAATAAAAATATTCCATCAGTCTCAATTTAAGCATAAAAATTAAATTAGCATATAAATTAGGCAGTGCGTATGTCCAAACATGCATCCAAATGAGATTAATGATTATATGCTATAAGTTCAAATGTGGAAAGAGCAGTGAGATCTTCATACCGCTGAATAGTATTTATTTATTTTCTTTGCATTTATATCCCACCTTTTTTCTCTAAGGAGTTGAAGGTGGTGTACATAGTTCCCCTCAACTGTTTAATCCGCACAACAACCCAGTGTGGGAGGTTAGGCTGAGAGGCACAGACTGGCCCTAGATCACCCAGCTATCTTCATGGATGAGTAGGGATTTGAACCCTGGGATCCCAGGTCCTAGTCCAACACCCTAGCCACTACAACACTAGTTGTTTGTCCTTCTAGCCTGAATGAAAAAGAGAATCTGCATCTCACTTGCCCACTTGATTGCAAACCCCACACATACTTCTGCAACAGAACAGTGGTCTCTATGTCTATACCCTCCAACATTTCTCTGATGAAAATAAGGACTATTTTTATTATTATTTATTTTATTATATGCCACCCATCTGACTGGGTTGCCCCAGCCATTCTGGGTGGCTTCCAACATATATTAAAACACAATGAAACATTAAAAAACTTCCCTATACAGGGCTGCCTTCAGATGTCTTCTAAAGGTTATATAGTTACTTATCTCCTTGGTTCAGGGGTCTCATAACTTCAAACCCTTATCCAAACATTTATCCAATGAAATTAGGGACATCCTACTATACCCTCCAACATTTCTCTGATGAAAATAGGGACGTCCTAAGGGGAAATGGGACATTCCGGGATCAAATTAGAAACGGGTGGCTTCTGTAAATCTGGGACTGTCCCTGGAAAATAGGGACACTTGGAGGGTCTGTATGAACCTGGGATCATGTGTACATCTGTGTAACGGGCCTCGAAGCCTCAAGTCTCAGAAAGTTAACCTCATGGTAGTAAGCCCTACTTCAATCATGGGGATATGCTTCAAGTAAACATGTTAAGAACTGGCCTTCAAGTGTGCATAGGAGTGCCTTCATCACCAACCAATGCAATGTATTTCCAGTAATTTATTAAATTCAGAATTCCATCTCCGTTGTCCAAACGTAATTGCAGAGCAGCGCCGGCAGTTCTACGAGAGTTAAACCAGTGCATCAATGGCAGAGGTTTCAACTATTCAAAGTTTTGTCCAACTGTTCACATCTGTGAATAGGCCTAAGATTGCACCTAATTATTGCAAGTTTCACAAGGAGAAAAAATGTTTCAGTTCTTTTTCTTCTTCCCCCATCCCAGGATACTTATGTATATGTAAGACATTCAGCAGGACAATGTCCTTTCCTAGTTGAAAAGCCTCCTGGAAAACCCAATCAGACAAATTATTTGTTTCCTCCTTGGGTACGCTGTTATCTATTGATGTGTCTGGAATTTCACATCCACACACACACATATATTTTTATCTTGTAAAATTCTTTGCTTTTACAAAAATAAAAAATAAAAAATTGCTAATTTTAGAATGTAAAGCACTGGAGAAGAGACCCAGTTCAGGAAATGCTCTTAAACAGAAGCATCAGAGATAATGAAAAAACGGCTCGCGGGATAAGCATATATTTATCGGGTTTGTTATGTATCAAATGTAACAAAAGTAGAGCGTCTAAGGAACTCCATGTGTGGTTCTTTCACACTCTTTGATCACACAATTCCCCCTTTTAATTCAGATGCAGTAGAGCTTAAGTGGATTCATTGATGTGTTAAGTGTGGAATGATTTTTTGTATTAAATAAAAAAAAGAGAGAGGGGGGAGAGAGAGTGAGAGACCCCATTATGCGTCCAGAGAAAGACTTGCCATACACTTGTTTATTGAGACAGGAAGTGGGTTTCCCACACTGAACAAATGATGCTGAGATGCCAGGGAATTGTGTGGGGAATAAAAGTAAAGGAAACTTAATTTTCTACCTGGCATAAAATCAGTCTCCGAAGGAAGAAGTAGACAATAAGTTTGGGCTTAGGCTGAATAATAGAATCTGATTGATTTTAAGGGAAGAAGGGAGGGGGGAAAGCCCCTCTCCCCACACCATTTATATAGGGGAGGAGGGCCACAAATTGCTTTTGTTAGGAAAATGCAAAGCTTGGCAATAAGTCTCTTTGTCATTTTCCGTGGTGGTTTAATGCTCCATCTACTGTTACACACCCTAAAAGGAAAAAATAAATAAAAACTGGAGCCATATGAAACTGTTTCAGAATGAAATGTAAGAGATTATTTATAAAATAAGGTCTTTGCAATAGTGGTACCCAGGGATTATTTTTTTTAACAGCAGCAATGGGCCAAATCAGGCAATGGATTGATAATTACTATGACTACTATGACAAAACAACAACAACAGCAACAACAGCAACAACAGACAATGGAACTCATGACCAAGAAATGTAAATTCATGAACCACCATCCACTTAAACCAATGTAGCTCAGCTGAGCTACAGCAGCAAAATTAATATATGGTTTAGAGAGTCATATCGCAAAAAGAACACTGACATTTAGAATATCACAAGTGTGTGTTAGGTTCTAGAGCTATCAACATTATGAATTAGGACTGTGTGAAACCACTTTGAGAAATTCCACTCATTTGGTCGACACCTTCTGTGTTCAGAGCAGCAAGCTCCAAAATTTGCCTTAAAATTTTGCTTTAGATAAAATAGTAGTAAATTAGAAAGATGTGGCCCACACTTGCAAGAAATGTCCATTAGACTTACGAAATCATTGCAGTTCCTTAAGTGTTGTCCTTGAAGAGGAACTTTTTGGGCAAATTTTTCTAGCAATTTGTTTTGGCTATGACATGAACATTTTTGCTATGACATGAACATTTAGAACGAGGTTGGAGAGCCTGTAGCCCTCCAGACATTGTTGGACTACAACTCCCATCATCACTTGACCATTGGCCATGCAGCCGTTGTCTGAAAGGAACTGGAGTCTAATAATATCTGGAGAGTCACAGGTTCCTTATTCCTCTTCTAGAACACAACAGCATGTGGAAAATAACAGTCATTCTGGGTTATCAAAGCATAGCCCAACAAATGAGCTGTCCAGATATGGTTCTCTTGCAGTGATGCTGCATTTTCCTATTGTTCAAATGGTGTTTTATTGGACTGCTATTCTTTCTCCCAACTTCGCAGATCATTGTGCTTGATGGTGCTACTGGGAATATGGTTACGTGAGGAGGAGGGACACTATTTGATCGTGCCTGTGACATCATTTATACCCCATGAGTGTCTGGGGAGCTCCACAGAGTCCAATTTACACTTCCAAGTACAAGTGTGGAAAGTGGTCCCTCCCAAAAAGAAAAACCACAAAAAACATTGGGTTGCATACAACGAAGCTGCCCTTTTAACACAAAGAAAGGGGCTTCCTCTCCCTCCTTTCCCATGCCACCTTTACACGCTCCCAGAGGTGGATTTAGGGGGCTCCACAACTACTATGTAGAATGGAAGGTGAGAGGTGGGGGTGCCAAATTTTGGTGTCACCCATGGCACCACTGAAATTTGAGACCCCAAGGTCCAGCACTGCTCCTACAATCTTTTCAGAGGTTTCCCCCCAAGCCCCTGGAGAAGAATGGGGGGGCATGTTGGAAGAAGGAGGGGAAAGTCCCACTGAGCAGGCAGAAGTCCCTGAACTAATGTGATAACTTCATTGTATAAAACATTTTAACATCACCAAATTCACCCCCAAAAGAGACGAGTTTCACTTTTTGTGGGTTTTCTAGGTCAATGGTGGAGAACATGTTTGCATCTGGAAGGTGTCAGGTATGATCTCCAGTCGTGGGGGAAGGGAAGATCTCCACCTGAGATCCTAGCACTGGGTGTGAGGGAACCTCAGGTCAAGGGCCAGCCCTCCAAGCCTCTCTATCTGGCCCTTGCAACTCTCCCTATGGTGTGTCCCCTCTACTCAGGCCATGTTCCTTCTCTGGCTCTGCATCGCACTCTCCATGAACTCTGATAATAACTTTTGCTTGCCTGAATGGAGTTGACAGAAAGGGGTATGCATAGAAGCTGTACAAAGATAAATATGACCTCCCCTGCTCCACCCACTTTTGTCTGTGGTCCTGCCCAAGAACTGTAATGTGCCCCCCTCTCTGAAAGGTTGGCTAGATGGGACTGTGGCCTTTGGGGTGTAAAGGGTTCCCCGCTCCTGTCTTTGAGAAGCACTGCCCCATCACTGAGCCTGATGACCCAATGGTCCAGCTTCGTATGTTTACCTCTTTGGCCAAAATAAAGACAGGCAGTGTAAGTGAAAGTATTTGCTCCAGGGAGGAGGAGGGGAAATAATCTTTGCAAGCCAAGAAATGAGCTTCAGAGGAAACATGCTCGCGGGGAGGACTTTGGAAGAAGTAGCCCATTGACGCTTGGCTCTGACTTGAAAAAGGAAAGGCAGGCGAATGGCTTCAGTGTCCCTTGGTTCTCATTCTAATGGATGTAGATCTGAAGTGTCAGTGAATATGACCAGATCTGGAGGCTGGGCATGAGTAATTCCATCTCACCTTGGCAAATCTTCAGAACGAGTTAGAGATTTGACGAACTTTGCCATGTGTTTTCAATTAGTTTTCAAGCAAGATGGGGGAGGGGGAGAGGGGAGGATTCCAAACAGCTGAGCAAAAGCGAAGCAAGTCCCAGTGTTCCTCCAGGCACAATTGGGCTTTTAGTTTCATTCAAGATGACATCTGCAAATCTGACAAAAATCTGAAATAGAAGGTGAAAGATACTGATGTCAATGTATGCATGACTATTTGATGCTAGAGTGGAGTAGCCCTGCAACATACTGGCAGCTTCCCATCAGTCCCTCATTTTTGTGTTCACTTAAAAAAATATCTCTGTTTTGGAAAATGGAATCTCGCAACAAGAAGAGAGCTTCCAATAAAGGCATATAGCATCAGATCCAGAATTAATCAGTCAATTAAGATCCAAAGGTAAGGGTGGCAGGGACACTGAAGGTGCAAGAGCCCACTTTGCTTTGCCATCTTGAAGTCAAACCAGCAGGGCAGAAGGTGGGAGCACATTTTCTTTGTTTGTTTGTTTTGGGGGAAAACCTCCTTCCAATTGATTTTCAATGGCTGGGAAGTAAATTACACTAACTCCAATACTAGGGTAGTTGGTTCCCTGTTCTAGGGGGCATATGGAGGTAATAGGAAGGCAGATTCTCCCAGGACATTCCCAATACACCCCTGGAATGAATCTTTTTCTCCACTGCTGGAGCTCTGATATCAGTGGGGTATCATATGTGCACCTTTCTGCAGTCTCATAGAGGTGATATACAAGATCGGGTCTCCGTCTCCAAAGGTAGACATCTCTCTACCCTAGGTCTATTAATTCCAATGGTTTGACTCTACATAGTTGGACACACCTCACAGAATCCATCACTATAGGGTTAAATGAGAAACAGCATCATACACAAAAAGCTCTCTATGCTGGCCAGTTAGGGCTGAACAAAATTTATAACACAAGTCTCTTGGTCTCTGCGCTGGAGTCCTTCATGATAAGCTACTTCTCTATCTAGTCCAGGCTGAACTATTGCAATTCTGCTCAGCTGAAACTAAATTTATTATGGCCATGTTAGCTGAATCTTGCTTGTTTTCCAGATGTTGAGGATCATATATTTTGCTACTTTCAATGACAATATTTTTTTAAAAAAACAATTCCTTAATTAATGCACAGTGACTGGCTAGATGCATATGTCTTGAACAGCTTTCCCTCCTCTGTGGGTAACCCTAGCTTGTCCGTCTTTACAGCTGGAATAAAATACCAGTGCTTTTTGAAGATCAGAAAACAAAGCTTACATAAGACAAAGCTTGCTGGATCAAACTCAGGTCCTTCTAATTCAGAGTTCTGTTTATAAAAATTGCCAACTAAGTGACTCTGGAGAAGTATGTGCAGACTATAAAAGTGATAGTGAATAACCCTGTGCGACACCAACATCCTTTCCACAGAGGCACACTTTCTCAGAGAGTGGAAACTCCATTTCTGGCTTCCAAGGGGCTTTTAAAACCAACAAATTAACTTCAAATGTCTGTATCCCATCTTTTGGACCTATGCTCCCTCCACGTGGCAAACGAGATTAAACAATACATGAAATGAATAAATTTCTTAAATTGTAACAATGAACTGGAAAGCACATGCAGACAGACACACAGACAACATAGCACTGATGTGAAATGGGAGATAGCCAGGAAGTGACTTAAATCTGAGAGCCTCTGGGATAAATATTACCTGAAATCAGCACTGAAAAACCTCAAAAAGATAGGGTAAAGGAGGAAGTTCCAAAGTCTTGGTGCCACAGTTGAAAAGTCCCTGTCTCAAGTTAATTCAATACAGGGGTATGCAGCAACCACGAGACTCACCTTGTAATTCTCTCTATAGTACTTGGAAGCAACCTGGATGGTTCTGTATGTGCTCTGTATTGTTCCGCTTTGATCAGTTATTAGGATCCGAATCTCATTTGTTAAAACAAAAGCCCTGTTTGCCTCCCACTGACTTTATAGAAGATTCTAAACCTTTCCACATAAGGGAATGAAATTTGTAGGCTAAGGAACCTCTCCAGAGTGGATTAAGTCTGCCAAATTTCAGGTAGCGCCAAAGAGGAGCTTTTGTAGGGAACCTTTTTAGAAAGCAAACGTCTCTTTTATTTTCTGCAAGAAGCAGAAGCAAACTGCAGGCATTGCTCTCCTTCTGACTGTACTCAGGCTACAGATTTATTAAATCTATACATTTCATAGATCTACATCTGCTACTC